CGCCATTTGCTCCCCCCCGGCCACCCCCCCCCCCCAGTTTCTATACTGAGCATGACATCATATGGTATGGAATAGCCCTTTGGTCAGTTTGGGTGAACTATCCTGGCTGTGCCCCCTCCCAGTTTCTTGTGCACCTGGCAGAGCATGGGAAGCTGAAAAGTCCTTGACTAGTATAAGCAGTACTTAGCAACAACTAAAAACATCAGTGTGTTATCAACATTCTTCTCCTACTAAATCCAAAACACAGCACTGTGCCTGCTACTAGGAAGAAAATTAACTCTATCCCAGCTGAAACCAGGATACCTGTTTCTCTTTTTTTCTTTCTTTCTTTCTTCTATGGTTTTTATTCCTTTCCATGCAAGGGTTTTTTCATTTTTCTTCTTTTTTCCCCCTCTTGTATCTTTGAGCTGCTAGCTGCGACTATCTTAATAATTATACATCTCCCTCGGGTTTTATTTCTCTTACCTTGCACCACTTTAGCTGAAACAGTTTCTTGCAGCTTAGTAAGTTTTCTTTATAACTGTGAGTCAAGGTGACAGAGTTATCCTGCACTGAACCAGACTTTGGGTCATGGATAGCTGAACTCCTGAGGCAAGGACCTCTTAAAGTCATGGTTCACCAACACTAGATACACTGTTTACTGTCAGCTCACCAACATGTTTTTCAGTTCTGTACATTGTGTGTACGTGCTTACACCCAATAGACAGAAATGGCAGGGGCACTTCCCGCAAAAGATGTATGTTATTGCACTTGCAGTGGGCTGTTGGCAGCTATGTCTTGGTGACCATTAGTGGAGGCAGCATGGCAGGGGACATGGCAGGAGCAGCGGTGCCCTCCAAAGGGCCCTGACCAGCGCTTGAAGTTGGAGGAGCACTATGGTACACTAACTTGTGACAGGGATGGGCATCAGGAGCAAAGAAGAGCAAACGTGTTTTATGGGTCTCTGCTTCAACTGTGTTAAGCCTTAGTCACCAAGGCAGGCTCAAAGACCGTGGGCTGGATTTTTACTTTTCCCATAAAACTTACAGCTAAAGTAGCAATACTGCTGGTAGAGTAGTAGTATCTGTTAAAACAAGCTTAGAGTCAAATTCAGTGAATCAGCTAACTGTGACATTATATCCTCGTATCCTCATGGTGTGGCATTTCGGACCAGCACAGGACAAATGTAGCACTGGGTCTATATTTCTGATTATCTGATGATGGTGGGAACACTGACTGTGAGAAGCTGAGCGAGATCAAAAAGGCAGAGGGGGCAGGAGATGCAGTAGTAATGAGACACACCAACTAGCCATCTGCACTGGCAACAGCTGTGGGGTTGAACTTGAAGCTGCTGTCAATGACTGTTCCATGGATCAGCTTTTCAGGGATCCCTGAGGAAAGGAAGCAACCCTTGCCTTGGTCCTGAGTAGTGCACAGGATCTGCCTCAAAATGTTGCTTTCTAATTTCTGTTGCTGTTCTCTGGAACAGGAGACAGCACATACTTGTATTCAACATTCTTGCAAGAACAACAAAGCAAAAAAATTATTACAATTGCATCCACCTTCAGAAAGGGAAACTACATAAAAACAAGGAAGTATGTTAAACAGAAGCTAAAAGACATCTAAGAGTCTTCAGAATGTATGGTCAGTGTATTTGACATATACATAGCTTTAGGTCACAGTACTGGAATCACAGAGCAAATGCATAACAAGGACTTAAGAAAGGCTAAAATGAAGCTGATAAGGCTAAACAGCAGCATAAGGGACTTATGAGAAGAAAGAAGGTGTCTTTCAAAAAGCTGGAGTTGTGTCCAAATGATGAACAGAGAAAGGATCCAACGTTGCCAGATTAAATGCAGGAACACAGCAATGCCAAAAGTGCCCAGAACAACACACAACAAGGCCAAAAGTGATTTGGAGGAACAAGTAATGAAATATAGCGAAACTTCTAATAAATTTGTAAAAACATACTGGCCAACAAGCCTTTCAGAAAATTCATGAGCCTTCTAGGTTATCAGAGCTGAAAAGGAGACTCCCTTATACAGAGCAGCCGGTGGATGGCTGGTTATATCACGTAGAAGTTATCACAGTAAGGAGCACGTTTTAGGATGAGATCTCACGAGATCCTGAACCAGCCTAACCTGCTTGCTGTCCCCAAAAGGGGTAGTCCCTTGCTTGTCTTGTCTCTCCCTTTTCCTCACCTCATTCTAGCTAAGCAGTCCTTCTCCCTCTTCTGTGCTGGCTCTTGCATCTTCTGTTGGATGTGGTTCACCAAGATGGTGAGCTGGTAGAGCTGGTCATCCTGAAGGACCTTTCTCTGAGCCACCTGAGCTTGCCGAAGCAGCAGGAAGCTCCCCCAGCAGGGTGAATTCAGTAGGCTTACTATCACCGCCGATGCAAAGTAAGACTAGGAGAGACTAGGCACCTGAGAAGTGATGTTGGATGGGGTGAGGAAGCAACTGAGATAAAAGAGAACCAGGAATTGAGAGCATCTTCCTGCCCCCTTCAGGAGGCAAACTGTGAGACTGATGCAGCAGCCTGTGGAACTGTAGACTCCTCTTTCTAATGCTCTGCTAGTTTATTGATCTGAATTGCCTCACCAAGGGCTCAGATGAGAGCCAGAGGTAATAGCAGAGGAGATACAGGGAGTCGTAGCTGGAAGAAGGGTCATCTGCTTCAGCACAGAACTGCCAGATCTGCTTAGGTCACCACTGCACGATGGATCCAGGTCAGTTCAAGCAGATGCTACTGTCAAAAGGAGTTTTCTCCAGACGCCTGTTCCTGCCATTTTACTGCTCCATCCCATGTGTTGGCACGCGTTGTGAAGTGGTCGGGGTTAAAGCTATTGTGGCAAAGAAGTCTTCACTGATCTGTTCTGCTTTGGTTGACCACGTGAATGTTTACACTAGGAATAGTGCAGAGACTGGAGTTTGGGTTTGGAGAGAGTGAAGAATCACTCTTGAAGGGCAGTGCCAGTGTAAGGTGTTTACAAAACCTATAAAGTTAGAACATTTTTGTATATACAAAATTTACAAATATACTTGCTCTTTCCCCTAGCCCCCTCTTATGAGTAGTTTGGAATTGGACCCCAATTCAACATGGGTTTGGTCTGAGCTTTAAAATGTTAATTGCTAAATTTTTTTGGTCTTTTTCTAGGCATATGAAGAATTGTTTTGGAGCTATCGTATCAAATATCTGCGACGAGTCAGGAGGGACAACTATTGTGTATTAAGAGCAGTGCTTTTTCAGATATTCAGCCAAGGCATTCCTTTTCCATCATGGATGAAGGAGAGAGATATATTAAAGGTAAAATTCCTTTCCTAAATGAACGTGATTCAGGTGACCTTGCACTGCAGAAGGAAGCTTTGTTCAATGTGAAAACTGATGTGTCTGATATGAAGTAGAGGAGAATCGTTACCAGAATTTAAAAAGAAGTTTTTCAAACTCTTTGAACTACACTTAATTGAAAAAGCATCCCTGATCTAAACACACCAAAGTGAATATGAGTCTAAGTGGTTAAAAAAAAAAAAAAAAAAAAGTAGATGGATAAATGTTACTGCCACCCTGCTAGATGTCACTCCCTTAACACAAAAGGATATTTGAATCCTCCTCATCGACATCCATGTAAAGTCCAGTGGCTCCCTTGTGAGCTGCTGAGCGTGTTGC